CTTCTGAGAGAGCTGCTCTTCAGCTGGCAGGTGACTTTGAGCAGCCTCCTTAAGGTAGCAGTGTTAAGGGCCACGTCTTTCAGGGAAGGAACAGAAAGCAATGGCAGGACAGGCTAGAAAACTTTGGGCTTTTTTAACCATAAATAGTGTTTTTGCTTTAGTTGCAATGGATACTTCTGGGGATAAGTTAGAGGTTGCATGCCTTTCCTTTGGAAGGGAACAGGCAGTGCATGCTAGGGCATGCAGGGACTTGGGGAACTGCTGCTGACCCTGCATGGCAGTCAGCTCTAAAGGGGCTGGAGGAAAATAAAACCTCACCCAGCCTTGCTGGGACCATGACCTGCTGCCTTATGAGCATGGAATTTCCTCAGGATACTCTGGACTTTCCTGAAAAGCAAGAGTTAACTGTTTAAAAAGCATCCAGCTTGTCTAGGAAATTCAGATGCAGTGCTGCTTTTTTAGGACTTTGGAATTACATATTCCCCCTCCTCCCTTCCCACTGCCATCTCCTCTGCTTCGAGGCTTGCTATTTTAACTATAGCAAGATAAGAGAAGAGCAGCTCTGTGCCTCCCTCTGCAGTCATGCCCATAGTCCCTATAAAAAGGCTCCTACAGTTATTCCACTCAAGTTATGTTGTTGAAAACAGTAGTGCCAATTAGACAAGGAAGCTTGACCTCAACCAGGACCCAAAACATGTCCCTCCTGCCTCTTGGACAGATGGAGGGAGATGGAGCCCGTCTTAGCTCCCTAATGAAGAGCTGTCATATTTGCTTTAATTAAAGCAAGCTGTTTAGCTCCAGAGCTGGAGTCTGTCACTTCTCTTATGCAGGGTATGGTTTAGCTTTGACTAATGCCGTGTTTGGCTAGTTCGGAGTTCAGCCTAGGTAAACACGAACAGCAAAATCCAAACTATGATGGAAGGCGGCTATGTGAAATATGCACTTGGCTGGGAGCTGCAGCCAGAGGAGGTGTTTTTAAAGCCTTGTTTTACACCGCACATGGGGCTTCCAAAGCTGCTGCCCTTTGGGGCTGGGGGGTTTTGGTGGCTGGGTTGGGGGCTGTGAGCAGGGGTGCAGCGGGCGCCCATGGAGCCATCCAGCAGCGCTGCATTTCTGCCCTGTTTGCAGTGAGTAAAAACACCCTGAACTTGCTAAATCTTTCCCCTGTTTTTCCCTCCTGGCATGCTCTCCCTTATTCCATACCTCGGAGCTGTCCTGCCTGTTGGAAAGACGCATGCGAAGCGTGGATTTGAGTAGAGCTGTAGAAACTGAAGAGTGAACTGCCCCAGTCTGTCAATCTCAACCTGGACTTCTGCTCCCTCACTGGTTTTGGTGATCAAGCTACAGGATTTTAGGTGTTGGTGCTGCCCTCCTTACTTGGCTCACTGCCTGCCCGAGGTTGAGAGAAGCCTTGGGGATGTTGTCTTCCTGGCAAATGCTCAGTATTTCATTCTGCTTGTCCTTGAGCAGCAGGGAATATTCTGAAGCTGGTTCTTGCTTGGCACTGTTGCAGTGGAAAGATTAAACATGTCCTTTTTTTAAAGCAGAAAAAAGACTTGTATAGACATGACTGTTATGTCACACTTAGCAAGAGGAAATTGGGATTTTGCAGTGTCTTGGGTGTTCTGAATGGTTATTTTTCTCCCTTTTCCCCTTAGAATTGTCTATGTAGAGCTCAAAATGGAAGAGGGAGGGGATAAAAATACTATCTACAAAAACCACCTTGCTGAAGTGCAGTTCCAAGTTCTAATCTGAATGAAAATGTGAAGTCTTCAGTGCCAGTTCACTTGGTGCAGTTTCTCAGCTGTTCAAGGTAACTACAGGTTGACTTGCTGGTGTGAAACACGTGTGTCTCTTGCAGGGCCGCGATGGGCATCCTGGAATATCGGTGTATTCATCTGTATACGTTGTGCTGGGATCCACAGGAATCTAGGAGTTCATATATCCAGGGTAAAATCAGTCAATCTTGACCAGTGGACACAAGAACAGATACAGGTAATGCAGGAAATGCACAGTATCGTTACTTTGGTAGAGCAAAGTTGGGAGGAAAAGCCATAATTGCCAATTTGGTGAGCATTGGTGGGCAAAGAAACTTCTGGAAAGTTTCTGTAAGTGCCAAAGGCTCCTAGAGAAGATCCTTCTTTAAGAAACCTCCTTTATGAAGGATCTGACTGCTCAGAGGTCTAAATCTACAACCTTAATTTAAGGGGTAGGCTTTCACCAGAAGCCAGAATGATTCTACTCTTCTCCAGGACAGGCTTTAAAAGTCTGCACATGCCTCCTAGTTAACACAGATTGACCCTTGGTTGGTAGCCTTGCGTGCCAGTGTGCGTGAAAGCTTTAATGTGTGCGAAACAAATGACTTAATTCTTTTGAATTGCAGTGCATGCAGGAGATGGGAAATGGAAAAGCAAATCGTCTTTATGAAGCCTACCTGCCAGAGAACTTCAGGCGACCTCAAACAGATCAGCATCCTTTCTTCTTTGGCTCCTGGGGGAACAGGAAAGCTTTTCATCTTGTTGCTTAGTAGCTGCCCTCCTTGCATAGGAGGCTTATCTGCATGTGCATCAGCTGTGAAAATTAGTTGCTAGCCAGGCACTCTGAGCACTGCTTCAGACTGCTGCTT